AAACTGAACGTGCTGAATAATATGACCCAAACAGAAAATAAAGATATCTTTGCAGCACCGGGAGAGACTAAATTCAACTTTTCTCCTACAGACGCCAGATACTCAACMCAATTTATTTAATGGCTAAAAATGAGAATTTTGSATGATATGTCTCCTTTAAAATGTAACCGAAACATAATTTTGTTCCCTTGTGTTATAGCAGTTTCAAGATGTTATAATTTGCACATTTTTTWAAAAAACAGATATGCCATATGGCTGGGAGCAGGAGACGGATGAAAAAGGACAAATAATTTATGTTGAGTAAGTTYACGGTTGAGTGAATTCTCTTTTTATTTTTTCACGTTTTTTGTAACTGCTCACCTTTCTGCTTTCAGCCACATCAACAAGCGCACCACGTACTTTGACCCACGCCAGGCTTTTACAGTGGAGGATGTGATGGTGAAGCCGAAACGCTACGATGGAAACACYGCCGCCCTGGAGATTCTGCAGGGCCGCGACCTGTCCGACAGGGTGGTCCTCATCACTGGGGGAAACTCCGGCATCGGTAAGTGTCGTTAGGTTTGTGTTTTCTCTTTTTTATGCTTTGCTTTTTGTGTTGGAAGACGGTGGCCTGCCCAGAAAAGTGCGATACCCGGATGCTGCCACTAGATGGTAAGATTACACCTTCGTGGATGAGGGTCCCTCTGAGGAGTCTTTCACATAGCATCAATAGAGGCCCTATTGRAAGCTGAACGGCATAAMCATGTCGCCGCCATATTGGAGGTGGCAGAGAGGAGAAAGCAAAATGCCTCGTTGTTGTGCGGCTTGGAAATATTCCAACACTTCAGATGTCCAAACAAAATAAGACGGAATTACCTTTCACATACTACTTACTTACACTTACTATAGATTGTATTTAAGCCATAGTCTGCACGATTTTCACCATTTTAACATTGTTTTGGGAGAGTAAACTTGTCAACAAAAATACTGGTTTATGGTTTCCTGCTCACAATTCATATGGCATTTACTTTAGACTACACACAGTATTAGATGAAAAAAAAATACATACATATATACACATACATACATACATACATACAAACATACATACATATATATACATACATACATACATACAAACAAACATACATACATATATATACATACATACATACATACAAACAAACATACATACATATATATACATACATACATACATACAT